CTGAAAAGCTGACTGACCTCACAAACTGTGACAGCATTACAATGATTTTTGTTATGAAAGGCTTTAACAGCTCTACGTTGTAAGCAGTTTCCAAAATTTACATGAAAATTGACTCCAGAAATTTATTCTAGGTGGACATTACTTGTACATACTCAAACTTACGCAGCTTCCCAGCTCCCTTGAAATTGTCTCTAGCTCACTCTTCATTGAGGCTCACTTCTTAATATTGAACTGATATTAACCTCAGTTTCATGCTGAGAGTAGTCTTCTTCCAGCAACCTGGACCATTAAATCCTGTTAAGGGTTTATCAGCTTTAAGTCTGCTAAAATGTCTTCTTTTATTCTCTAACCACATGCTTTCTTCCTGATTGTTGAAGTTAATTCATTTCAGTTTGTATCACACACAGCTCAGGAATCCAGAAGCCTCACCCCCCAGACATTGTGTGGCTTTGAACTGTGCCTCTCACTGAGCAAGGCTATTAACAAATTCTCTAAATCCAGCATGCACCATAGCTATTTTTGTCATCAGCAAAGCCTAAAATACAATTCACCTTGAAGAGGAGGTGCTGGACAGCATTTGTTTTCATGAACGAGGATGGGGTCAGGCTGGGAAGATGCCTGGCTCTGTCTCAGGAGTCCCACAATCCGTTTGCTGGAAGCATCAGAGAATCTGAAACCTTTCCATGTACTTGGGTGCCTAGCACAGCTTAGGGAGGATCAATGTAGGCACTTGAACTTGAAACAAAAAATAATCAGCAAAAACAGGACAGAAGTACTTGTTTACTTTATATTTCAGATGTTTCATCCAGAGAGAGAGACAGCTTTGAGAAATTCAAGTGCACTATAGCAGAGGCTGCTTGGGCTGGGAATATGACCACAAAACGATTGGGGTTGTTAGCAGAGTGTGCTGCCCATTTACCAGCGATCAGGGCTGCAGGGCTGGATGGTGAGGGTGAGTTTTCACAGGACAGAACTGACCTTCACAGCAGCAGCAGAGAGCAGAGCTGACTGGGTGTTTCCTGGAAACCAGTCTGAGGACTGGCTGTGATTTAACAACCAGCTCTACAGAAATCAGCCCTGTCACCAGGTAAGAATGGTGACTAGTCCTTTATTTTTTAACTGTTGTGGGCATGACTTTTGCTATCCAGTGTGTTCATTGACAAGCTGGGAGTGCAAGCACCACTGCGGTTAACCCTGGCCGTGCAGCTCCATTGAGGCAAACCGAAATACTTTGCAAAATACGGTAAAACTGGCAGTTCTGCCTCACTGAAGCAGGACCCGGTCCCGGCTGCTTCTGTACCATTTCGTGGTTAACAGAGAAGTCAGGACTGCAGCAGCTGTCCCAGTTTTACTTCTGGCAGCCGAAGCAACGCCGATCCACGCAGTTTTGCCCGACATCCCCTGCCTTGCAGTTCGCCCGGGAGGAGCCCGGCGGGTCCGGGACCGAGAGCAGCCCCCGCTGCCTCCGGGAGGTG